CAATTTTCCCCCCAAACAAACAGAAAACAAAGCAGAGCGAGGAGCCAGGCCTCAGGGGGAGGCAGGAGGGAGGGTGGGCACAGCAGGGTCCCGTGTCCCAGATTCCCTTACCCTGTTTGCTGGGCACGGGGCCAGGCTGTGCCCCCGCCCTGCCCGGGGGTCCCCCGAGCAGCCCACACCTCCCCCCGAGGCTGCCAAGCCATTTTCAGGGCGAGGAAAGGAACAAAAGAGGGGAAGGAAGAAACCGAGGGGGTAAATGATGACTTTCCTGTGGTTGTGAGTTGGAACAGAACCATGATCCATGCAGAGAAATCTTCATCAACCAAAAACTCGTGGACAAAAAAAGCACAGTTTGTCCCCTCCCGCTCCCACCCGACCACCCCTCCCCAATAATTATTACATTACTTCAAGAAAGAGTATATTTTTCATGCATAAATCAAATTCTCATCTTGTCTTTTTTTTTTTCCTTTTTTTTGTCTTCTTTAAATTACATTTGAACACAGAACACATATAATAAATACTCTCATACGACATGACTCAGAGAAAAGTAACACATCTGAACGCAAAGGTATCGTCATCATTATTAGTTTTTCTTTTTTTTTCTTTTTTTTTTTTAAAAGGACTTGTTTAAATATGAAATCTGTAAACTCCAAGGGTCCTTTTTTTTTAATCTTTCTCTCTCTCTTTCTCTCTCTCTCTCTCTTTCTCTCTTTTTTTTTTAATCGTGAAACTATCCAGCTTTCATTTCCTTAACATTCAATATGTCTCCCATTGAACGCATCAAAGAAATAAGAACATGCCGTCTTCTGCAAAATTATAATTTAACAGTATAAAGCTTCAAGTCACAAATTCCAAAAACTAGCTAAGTAATTTTTTTTTTTTTTTTATCACATAAACTATACATTAAATATTTTGAGGTATTTCAGAGAACATTGTCAAAGGCTTGTAAGGTCTGTGCTGGGTGGCAATGAAGGCTTTCTCCTGCATAGAGAACATCTTTGGTATCACAAGCCAGGTGGGGCTGGGGACAAGGGGGTGGCGTGGCCAGGAGGGCGGGCAAGCCCTGGCCAAGGCAATAGTGTGGAGGTGGGCAGGGGGGACAGGGAGGTGACAGGGAGGTGACAGGGCCCTCTCAGGCTGCCCAGCAGGATGGGGTTGCTCTCACCAGGGGCGTTGGAATCCTGGAATATCTTGGATTGGAAGGGACCCCCCCAAGGATCACCAAATCCTGCTCCTGGTCCTGCACAGGACAACCCAAGAATCACACCAGGGGTGGCCCTGGGCAAGTTTGGTCCAACTCAAAGGAGTCTCCTTGGCCTGACTGACCCAGGCAGGTACAATTCAACCCAAGTTTTCCCTAAACTGGGCATTCTGGAGATTGCTGGGGAGCTCTGGCAGCTCCTCCTGCTGCCTTCTGCTGAAGCCAAGGGCAGAATGGAGCAGACCTGGCTGCACAGTTTTTGGCTCCCCAGTGAGCCAAAAATGTCCCTCTGGGGACTTGGAAACAGCTCCTGCTGGAAGGATTCAGTGCTCCAGCCCCTTCCCTAAAGGAAGAGTTTGGAGAAAGCTCAGGGTGAGGCTTCCACTGCTCCTGCCTTCATCTTTCCAAACAGAAATGCCACAAACTGGGCTACCAAAAGTGAGAAGCAAAGCTCAGATCTGAGCTGAGTGAGGCAAAAACAGCCAAAGTTGAGGAAACTCAACTTTGTCACCTCATGAGGAAAGTCAACTTTGTCACCTCGTGAGGAAACTCAACTTTGTCACCTTGTGAGCTTCTGCAGGGTCCAGCACTGAGGCTGGAGAAGGTCATGGAGCAAAGCCTTTCCCTGGGAGCAGCATCCCTGGACACCAGGTCTGTGCTCCTGGGGCAAGAGGGGCTGCATGGAGGGACCCTGGGGACCAGTTTGGGGGACACAGGGACATCTGAGCGTGGGGACATGCTGGGGAACCAGCACCTTTCCCTCAGCCAGGGGGATGTTTTCTCTTCAATTAGGACAAGGGTCGGGTTTTATTTCCTTCATCCCAACACCCAGAGACTACGAGAGCCCTGGGACTCTGTCCCTGCGGAGAGCTGAGGTCACGCTGAGTCTTTAGGATCAAAGCAGAGGAGCAAAGAAATGGCCACACACCTTTGGTACAAGAAAAAGGCACTCATCTACCACGCTGCCATCCCGGAGTCGCTCGCTCGCCTCCTCCCTTGCTCTCTGGGGACTCGACAGGGCTGGGGCTGGGGCTGGGGGTGGCCAGGGGCTCTCTGGGCCAGCCTGGCCACGGGGAGCAGGGAAAGTGGCCTTTCCAGCACAGACCAGACAAGGCAACAAAATCTTTGGTATCAGACGTGATTTTCAAATCACAAAAATTGAAAACTCAAGTGAGGTAGCCTTTAGTCTCGGGTTCTCACTAGAAATGTCTTTGCATCCTTGAGGGCCTGTGGCATTTACTCTTTTTTTTTTTTTTTTTTTTTTTTCTTTTCCTTTTTTTCCCTTTTTTTTTTTTTTTTCTTTTTTTTTTCCTGTTGTGTTTTTCACTTCCCAAACCAAGGCCCCCTTCCTGGCTTTGCAGCCCTTGAATACTACTCGATGGGGTTCAGGAATCCACCACCATCATCACCACGTCACGACAAGACGAAGAAACAACATTAGGGGAAAAAATCAGTGGCGGGGAGCGGGGTCCTGGGGGGGGATGAGATTCCCATGAGGTTTTGGGTTCTGGTTGGCAAAACACGCTGTGGCACCTGCCCCTCCCCGCTCTGCCCTCTCTCCTCCCTCTGTCCCGCCCTCTGTCCAGCAATGTTGGTCAGTTTGGTGTGACCGTGTCCAGCCTGACACCCCCAGCCCCTCCACCGCCCACCTACCCCAGGAGCTCTTTGGTTCAAGGTGTCCTCTCACCCTGCCCGCTCAGGGCTTCGTGTGCAGGGCTTTTTTCTTTCTCTCTTCATTCTTTTGTCCATTCTTTTTTCTTTTATTTTGGGGGTGCCTTTTTTTTTTGGTTTTGGTTTTGGTTTTTGGTTTTTTTTTTTTTTTGGTGAACACATACCCTTTTCTTTTCTCCTTTTTTTTTTTTTTCCTTCTTTTCAACAAGGTGCCTTCCTGTGACACAACTGATCACTCTCAAAGTAAAGTGAATCGAAGAAACCATAGAACACAGATGGTACTTTTTACCCGCATAAATTCAAGAGTGTCCCTTCTTTTTTTTTTTTTTTGGTTGATGGTTGGTTTTGGAGGATTTTTTTTTCCCCAGCTGGTGGGGGAAGAAGGGGACCTTGCCTCCCCGTTCATCCCCAAGCCTCTCCCAGCCCTTCCCTGTCCCCAGCGGCACCTCCTGCTCCTCCCGAGGACAAGGCTGCAAGGAGCCCTAGGGGGGCTGGGAGAGGGCTGATTGTAAGGGTTTGGCCTCGTGATTGCTTTTTTATATGGCACAAGTCACCATCGAGAGCTCGGAGGAAACGATCCCTTTGAAGCTAAGTACCATTGCTCCAGAAATTCGAGTTTAAGGCAGGTTGTTAATTGGCACAAAAAAAAAAAAAAAAAAAAATCTGGCGTCTTTTTGGTAAGTTGCCGGTCTTTGTTGAGCTTGTTTGGTTGTGGTTTCTGTTGTTATTCCTTTTTTTGGGGGAGGGAGTTGGTTTTTTTCCCTTTCAATCTCGTTGGGGAGTTTTCCCCCTTCTCACACCCAGGGCTGGATTTCGCCACCAGATCCCTTGCATTTTTCTTTTCCCACTGTGCACCGATGTTGGTTCCCAGGAGGGAAATTTTTTTTGGTTGTCGTCGTTGTTGTTGCGTTTTTGGTTTTGTAATTTCTTTGGTAACAGAGATGAAGAGGAGGGATGGGAAGGGGCAAGAGTGTGTGTCGAGGGGTGGATGGGGCGAGAGGCAAAGCCAACAAATCTGCTTTGTCTGTGTCCATTCCTCAGCCGAAAAGTGAACCAGAAATCCAGAGGTGAAAGGTGGAGCCAGTCACCAGGACAGATCAGATCCTTCACTCCGAGTCTCTCCTCCCGTCTCCTTTCCAACAATTGTTATTTTAAATACCCGATTTCTGTAGCTAAAATGTGCTTCTTTGACCTGCTGGGGCGCCAGGCGGCGCGGAGCAGCGGGGGTCCCCTCGGGGTGGGGGTGCTCGGGTCCGTGGAGGCAGGAGGGGACTCCTTCACCGTGGAGCTTCTCTGGGAGGGATCTGGGAGTGGGGTGCTCTCGTGGGTGGGGGGCTGTGAGGGGCCTGGGGTGTGGGTGCTCCTGGGGTGTCTGGGGGGGTCAGAGGAGGATGCCCATAGAGGGAATGGGGGTACAGGGATGTTCTCAGCCAGGTTTCCAAAACCCTCAAGGGGTGGAAGTGCCATGTGGAGATGGCACAGAGGGTCTGGCTGCCTTGGGGAACCCGTGAGCAGGGGAAAACCTCCAGCAATGAGAGAGCTGGCAGGAGCCCGGGAGCCCTCCAGGCACTGGGAGCACTTCCCCGGCTCAGTCCCCTTTGAACCACGCCAGGTCTGGCCCTGGTGCAGTGGGGCTGTGCCCGAGCCCAGCCTGTGACACCCCTTCTTGTGTCACCCCCACGTCTACCCCTGGGGGAGCCACAAGGATGGCTGTGACAGAGATCAGGGCGAGAGGTCAGGACAGGCCCCTCTCCCCAGAAACCTTCCTGGGCAGGGAGAGATGAGGCTCTGTGATCCCCAGGGACCGGGGATGCTTCCTTCCAAACAGAGCCCTGCTCCTCCCTCCATCCCACACCACCCACGGGCTTCCTCTGAGCCCTCCTGGGGACGGCGCTGACCTGGCCACAAACCCTGTCCCTGCTCCATGAGCTGGCAGGAGGTGGCAGCAGGAGGTGGCAGCAGGAGGTGGCCCGAGGCCCACGTCCATGGGTGACACCCAGCTGAGGGTTTGGGAGGCTGACAGACCCACCCCAAAAGCACCCACCCCAGTCAGGCCATGCGTGTGAGTCTGGGGTTGGCTTTGTCATGAGGGGGACATCCAGGAAGGGGCAGGGGGGGCTGGGGGACATCATGCTTTGGAGAAAGTGCTTGTAGACGACGAGGGGACCCCGGGGTTGGCGCCTGGCTCCTCCTGCCAGCGGTTCATGCAGCGCCGGCGGGCGTTCATGAAGAAGTTGCTGACGGTGTTGAGCTCCAGGCCCAGCTGCTGGGAGATGGTCATCTGCATCTCCTTGGACGGGCGCTTGTTCTCCTTGAAGATGGCGATCAGGGTGCGGCGCTGCAGGTCCGTGAAGACCAGGCGCTGCTTCTTGGGCTGCAGGCTCCGGTCCTTCTGCTGCTCCTGCTCCTTGCGTTTGCAAGCTGGAGATGTTCAAAAGAGAGAACAGGGCTGTTAATTTGGGCTTCCCCACCCTGGCCCGCTTGCAGGTTGCCCGGCTGCCTCCCAAAATCCAGGCCCTTCCCGCCAGGAAACTCTCTGGCTCGTGTCCCACTGCTCCCTCCTCTTCCTCCCTGCGCCTCCTGAGAAGGGACAATGGCCTCTTGTGACGCCAGGGTGACAAAAGCCTGGGGGAAGCCCAGGGAAAGTCTCAGCATCTCCAGCTGACCCTGGGACTAGAGACTGAGGAAAGCCCTGGACTGCTCTGTTCCCAGAGACTGGCTATTGGGATTCAGCCCTAAATTCTGGGGGTTACCCTTGGGCCTCCCTCAGCATGGTCTCACTCCTCATCACCCCTGTGGATGTCCCTGGAGGACTCAGGGAACCGGTGTCTCCTGGCCACCACATCCAGCTGCCAGCTCGGAAATGCAGGGGACAGGGACATTATGGAAGGGTCACTCTGCAGCCTTAATCCCACAGCTTGGAAGGACCCACCATGGATCCACCTCTCTGGGAAGGGGTTTTCCTGCCTGAGCCACTGGAGGCTCCAGGAAATTCTGTCTCCCCTGTGTGCCTTTGCTATCGGATCCTCTGGCACATTTGTCAGCATTGAATTAAAAGCCTTCCCTACATGTTTGGCTGGAGGCAAAGGTCAGCACAGAGGGGCTGCCAGGGGGGAAGCCAGGAAAGCCCCCCTGACCCCAGCACACTGCATGAGGGCAGAGGGGAAAGTGAGTAAAATAGATAAATATATGAATGTTAATTGTGGGGATATCAAACACACTGCTGGTGGAAGGGGTGGAACAAGGGGACCTTTGCTGTGATATTTTCTTAGAAAACTGTAAAATGGTGGAGGTGGCTGATCCAGTCCCTGCTCAGAGCAGGGCTGACCCTGAAGCTGTTGAGGTTTGATCTGGGTGCTCAGGGACTCAACCAGACACAGAACTGTAGGGACCTGAGATGCCACAGACACGGCAGGGCATGGATCTGACCCTACAGGGCTGGGGACAAAGCATTTCCTCCTGGGAAGCTGAGAAAAGACAGAGCAAACTGTGGGCTGAAGACTTCCCAAAGGCAGTCCCGCTCTTGCCCGGGCAGCAGCAGTTTTCACCTTTGGGCTTTCTTGGTTCAGATTTTCTGAAGGATTTTGCAGGGTGCCTTGAGACATTTGCTGTCTGGGTGGCAGATTTCAGCTTGGCACTTGCAGGAGCCTCTTTGGCCTGGAGGGCTCAAAGCAAGTTCCAAGCTCCAAGCACAGATCTCGGAGGGGCCAAGATGCTGCAGGGCACAGGACAGGTATTTCCCTTGGGCTAAACCCCTCCCTGCTCTCCAAACACACCTCCACAGCCACAGGGGAGGCAATGTGTAACTCAGGAGTAGTGGGAGGCTGTTTGGAGTAATTTCTTCCCCACTGGAAAATAAGCAACCTCCTCCTCCTGTAGTTCCTCAGCTGCCTCCACTACAAGCCCTCTTCACACCACCTCGAACTGAGAGAGAAGGATGAGATCCACCCCTTCCACCCAGGGCTGGGGAAATCTGGAGCTCACTGAAGGAGACAATTAATGCAGCAGATTGAGCTCTGTGTCCCAGCTGCTGGGCTCAGCCCTGGCCTGGACCCCAGAGCCACCAGCTCTGCTCCCACTGGGCAGGGGATGGGAGGCACCGAGCTGGACACCACCAACCACTCTGAGTCCAAACCAGCCAGCCCTGGTAAAGCCAGTGGAGAACCTTCCCCTCCCCTTCCCCCTCCCCCAGGCAGGTTTGGATGCACACCACCATCCTTAGGGACAAAGGGACACTCTGAGTGATGCCAGGGGACCCTGTCCCAGGGGTGCCTTACTCAAACAGCCAGCAGAGAATGTGGAAACCTACCCTATGACCATCAGATGCTTGCAAAAAGAACAAACAAAAAAAAAAGCCTTTATAGAAAATTTGACTTTTTTTTCCCCCAGACATGAATTTTAAAAAAGAACCCCCCACCAAAGTCCCCCCAAGCCAAACAACAAACAGAAACACTCCCCCCACACTTATGCCCTGAGCCCACCCTCCCAAGCCCTCCCGGCACCCCCAGCATGCTCAGCTCCTCCTGTGTCCAGGGTGGGCTCCTCACACTCCACTCATGGAGATTTTGCCCTGCAGGATGGCCTTTGGAATGTCTCCCACATCCCCGCAGGACCCGTGGGTGTGACCCAGCTGTCACCCTGGCAATCCAGTCCGTCCTCTTGCTCTCCTTTCTGCTGGCACCCATTCCCACACCATGCTGGACATCCAGCCCAAGGTGCAGCCTCTCAGCTTTCCAACCTCCATTCCTTTTTTAGCAGTGATTATTACAACCCAGTCTCCCATCAATAACTCTGAGCTCCGAGGCAAACACAAACCACCAGGGTAAGACTGGGCTCCTGCAGTGGAAGCAGTGCCATTGTCCAGGCACAGGTGACATCCCGCTCCTCACCCCTGCTATTTTGGGTTATTTTTGGCCTGCGCTGCCGCTGGCGGCCACATCCCCCATTTCCTGTGCTGGTTTGTTTATTTATTAATTTCCCTTTCTGCTGACGCAGCCCCGCTCCCCTCTCCCCCAGCTCAATCTAATTACAGCTCCGCACAGCAGCGATCGATGGCGGCGCTGCTCAGATCTATTTACGGCAGCCATCAACCCCTCCACGGAGGATCTTTTTCCCATTCCCCATCCCCTGGGCGCTGCTTTCCCAGGCAGCCTGGCTGTGGCTGTCCCCACGTCCCCGCAGGCAGCCAGGGACGAGGGGCAGCCAGGTGTGGCATTCACATTCTCTGAAAAAATCTCTTTGCCCAGAATTTTTCTCCCGGGAAGCTGAGAAGCCTCAGAGAAAAAGGAAAACAATTCTTATCTCATTTGCTTCTCCTGTGTTTTGCTCATGTGGAATGTGGCTGGAGATTGTTTACCCACAGGTGATTGTTCCATTGGGTTCTGGTGTGAGTTGTTTTCACTCTCTGGCCAATTCCGGCCAAGCTGTGTCAAGACTCTGGAGAGAGTCACGAGTTTTCATTATTATCTTTTTAGCATTCAGTAAGTCTCCTTTCTGTATTCTTTAGTATAGTATAGTATAGTATTATTTAATATAATATAGTATTATAAAGTAATAAGTTAGTCTTCTTCTGAGAACACAGAGTCAGATGCATCATTCCTGCCTTTGTTGGGGCATTCCCTGAGAATACAATAGCCAGGGGCACAGCTCTGCCTCCCACCCATACCAGCTGTGGGTCAGGTATTTGTGCTCCAAAATCCCTTTTTCCCCCCAAGTTCTAAGATCCAAACAGCCCAGCCATGAGTTAATGTTGTATTTCCATCATGTCCTTCCCGGCTCTCTGGGCTTGGCTGTGGGGATGGGGACATTTCCAGCCCTGCCTCTGCACGTGTCCCCAAAGGACAGGGTTTATTTATTCCTGGGCTTGTCCTGCTCCTCCTGGGACACAGAGGGCCCTGGCAGCACCAGGACCATCCCAGCCCCAAGGCTGCCAGAGCTCCAGGAGCATTTGGACAGCGCTGCCAGGGGTGCTCAGGGTGGGCTTGTTGGGGTGGCTGGGCAGGGACAGCGCTTGGGACACAGAGGGCCCTGGCAGCACCAGGACCATCCCAGCCCCAAGGCTGCCAGCGCTCCAGGAGCGTTTGGACAGCGCTGCCAGGGGTGCTCAGGGTGGGCTTGTTGGGGTGGCTGTGCAGGGACAGCGCTGAAGATCCCTGGGGGTCCCTCCCAGCTCAGGATATTGCAGTCTCCCACAGCTCTGTTGGCCAATAATGGGCTCACCCACAGTGGGGTTTTCTCCTCTGTCAACCCCTCCCCTGCTCGTTTCACACCCTCCAAACCCAACCAAGGAGCCCAGAAGTGACAAGGGGGGGACAGCAGACGCATTGGGACAGGGTTGGTGACGGCACGGATCCCTCCACACAGCGGGCACACAATCCAAACAACGCCATCCCTGAGGCAGCTCTGACCCAGCTGCCGAAAAAACAGAGGGAGCAGAGACAAGGAGGAACCTCGGACAGGGAAAGCAGGAGGAAAGAGCTCCAGAACGCAGAGCCATCCCACCCTCCTCCCCAGAGGTTCTGCCCAGGGTTTCTGCCTCCCGGGAGCCTCATGTCAGAGGCAGCGCGTTTTCCTTGACTTAACCTTGACAGCTCCGAGCAAAACATCTCCCAAATCATTTCAGAGGGGACATAATGGAGACAATCAAATGGCTGCTGCTCAGGAACTGCGATTATGCCTCGCAGCGTGAACCCCGCCAAGCATTTAACTAATACCTGATGGCTTTGAGGCTTCCACAGCCTGTCAGACCCTGCTTTCTCTATTATACCAGCAAACCTCTGCTTTTCGGCCCCAGCGTGCTCTTCCCTCTCCATTCACTTGCAATACAACCTGTAATTTTCTGCCCACTTTGCTTAAGTGCTGGTGATTTGTTGAAATCACAAAAGACAGCCAGGGGCTTTCAGAGCCAGCACAACGGCTGTAAGCAAGGATAGGGGGAGGAAATTCTGCACAAAACCCACCAGTTTCTCTCTTTTTCTCCTTGTCAAATCATCTCCCAGGGGTGGAAGAGAACTGAGGAGCATTTATGGGCTCAGAGGGAGGTGGAGGAAGAAATGGAGGGGGGAACCTGGGTGTGGTTGGCCAGGTGGGGACAGGTTTCCCTGGTGCAAAGGTGGGATGGGCTGATGTGGGAAATGGATTTGTAGAGAATTTCTCAAAGCCTGGCAGAAGGCTCACACAGTGCGCATCTGTGTGCAAAGCTTGAGATAACAAAGGATGACTTAGAAATGCCATGGAATGGGACAGACATTGTTGAGAGAGAAATGGAACTGGAAACAAGTTTCAAAAGATGGCCTTGCAAATAAGACTGGATACTTTGGAGAAATAGAACTATGAAAGATGAATTGTAGTAGGACCCATGAGGGGAAATTTTAGATTATTGGCTTTGAGGCATTTACAGCATGGTGTGGCAAAGGCTGATA